AATCATACTTGAATTCTCCTGTCACCTCGCAGGCTGTCCCTTCTAAGATTCTTCTGTTGCTGTGCCTACCTCTTTCCCATCTCTAACTGTTGTCATGGCCTTGGGTTCAGTTTTGGAACTTTCTCTCTATGTACTATTAATTCAATGTCTGTCACAACCACTAATCCAGTTGCCTAGTGGAAAAAATCTAGTCCCATCTAACTTCCATTCCATAAGTACTGACAAATCCTGCTGTCATACAGATCCCCAGGGTGACTACTTCTCATTGCCCCACTACACCTACATGGTCCCAGCCATGGTGGTTGTGTTAGCTTCTTTGATAACTTACTTCAGTCTAGAATCACTTGGGAAGAAACAATTATTGAGAAATGTCCTTAGCAGATTGTTCTGTGGAGCATTTTCTTTGTTAGCAATTGATGTGAGGGGGCCTAAACCATCATGGGTGGTGCTGCCCCCAACTGGAAAGTCCTGGGTTCCATAAGAAAGCAGGCTGAGCAAGCCATGAGCTGTAAGCCAATAAGCACCCCATCCCATGGCCTCTGGATCAGCTCCTGCCTCCAGGTTCCTGTCCTGTTTGAGTTCCTGACCTCATTTCCTTCATTGGTGAACAACAACACAGAAGTATAAGCTGTAATAAAACTGTCCCCCCCCAACACCTCACACCAAGTTGTTTTTGTTCATGGCATTTTATCACAGCAAGATCCCTGACTAATATAATACACTGCTCTCTTGACAGACTCCTGCTACCATCTCCCAATGCATTTCTCTCCTGCCTCCACTACAGTAGACACAGAAATATCTGAAAACTAGAGAAGGCAGCACTTGCTCAAATGCTCCCATGGTTTCTCATACCCCAAATGAAATCCAAACTCCCATAGTCTGTTGTATCACTGGATAGGATTTGCCTTCTCCAACTTCATTCCTGCCAACCTCCCTCATCTCACTCCACTCCAGTCACAGACCAATCTATCCCAGCCTCACGTCCTTCTGGTCCTAATTCAAGTATGGGTTCATTAGAGTCCTCAGTTGCCAATCTATGTAAAAATGACTCTCTTTAAAACAGCTCTCCACTCACAGTCAGAACAGCCAGCTTTATGGATCTTGAAAACAAAGGTCACTGCCTCATATTAAGTTACTGAATTTTCAAAGAAAGAAATTCTTCATTGCCATATCCTGATCCTTTGGAACAATGGCTAATGCAAAGCATTTCTTCTTAAAACATGAATTAATAAATGAGAAAACAGTGACTCATGTTCACATTTTAACCAAACAAGACAATGTAAAGAGTGAGTTAGCCATGTTACTACCCAGGAAGAAATATTAAATGAATCACCTCTAAAGTGAAACAGATATAGTCCATATTCTGGTCACTGTCTTCACCCTTGCCCACTTAATTCCTGTTCTTTTTACCAGTCTTTAATCTAGGTGGAAAAAACCTCAGCCACTCCCCTATCTTTTAACAACATACACAAACAAAAGGAAGACAGAATGTGCTGACTTTCACAAAACCTGTCTCCACATCCAGACACTTGGCCTTGTCCAATGACCAATGCCTGTAGCCTCACTACTTGGATCTCTGATTTTGACAATTCATGACCAGGAATAGAGTTCATATCCTGAAGCCTGTAGGGACAGTATGTGCCAGAGGAAAACTATTTGTTATAAATTGTAGGTCTGGGGATATAGTTCAGTGAGAGAGAACTTGCCTAGCATACATGAAAGCATGGATTCTATCCCAGTACTGGAAATAAAAAAAAAAAAAACAGTAACAAGAAAATCAAATATATAAGAAAAGCTAAGTGAAACATTTTTTGCTTGTTTTTTTTTTCCCAAAAAAGTATGAAGTAAATAGAATACAAAGAGTAAAAAAATCAGTATACTGTAATGGATGTACAATAAATTATATACATCTAGAAATTAAAAATTACATAAAATTATATTTTGAAAAGATTTTTAGGGAGACTCACAAATTCTTGGTGACCAATAATGAAGAAACATTTTTTCCTAACAATGTTTCGCCAGCTCTTTGTGGAAACACCAAAGTAATGTAGTAGTCCCACTCAGATGAACTCTTCTGCTCCTTTAACTCTCTAGTCTCGATAAACACACTTGCCCTATCTCAAAAAACATGACTCCAGTTATAAGACCTCATGAGTGTGTTAACAGAACACCCATGCCACCCCATCCCTCTCTAGTTACAGCAGGGGCCCTGTCCCTTTGCTCCAGCCAGTAACTCAATCTGTGATTAGGCCCTGCCTACATGTCTACACTTTGTATGACCCAGGCCACTGAATGAATGACCCTCCCCACACACACACTCTTCCTCCTGTGTTCTATTTAGCGTAGAATAAACACTCTCCTTCAATGTCCCACCTGGTCTTCACTGAAAACTTCCTATTTGTGTATCTTGTAGAATGGTCAGTTTGTCTCTGCCACTGTGTTTGTTGCCAAGACATTTTGTTTCCAATCATTCAGATTATGGCCTTGCTAGAGATGGCCCTGGTGTTTGTTTTTCACAGTCACTGACAACAAACACTTATTCTTTCTGAAAATTGTGATCATTTGTTTATCTGCAGAACAACATTTTTTCTTTAAATGCTTTGTAGTCTAAAGGGAAGATATAAAATAGAAGATTAAAGAGAGATAAGATAGAATTGCCAAAACCACATTTCCATGGTTCAGGAAATCCTAGCATGCCTCACTGGCTGTTTGTTTCCAACATGAATGTAGTCTGTGAAAGAACAATTAGAATTGTCTTTCTGTTCCAATGGCTCATACAGGAAAGAAACAGGAAATCCTGATGGAAGCTTGGGCTTTACAGGATATTTGTGAGTATTTACCCATGTGTTTGATGTTTCTCTTCCACATCTGTACACTCTGGGCCCACATTTGGCCCACTTGTTCTTTGCTTTTCTAACATCATTACAGCTCCCAGTAAGTTGTGTTCTATACGGGAGGGGCTCAAACCAAGCCTGGTGAAGGAAACTGAGGCCCAGAGGGCACAACTCTCCCACTTCCTCATTATAAAACTTAAGAACTGACTGGGGAAGTGCTTCTGAAACTTTGCCACCAAAAACTTTTCCAGCACTACAAATGACTTATGCCCACATCCCCTCCCCCAGGACCTGCGGCCACAGCCTTAAGCAGAAAGCAAACTGAAAGCTTCGTTGAAAATGTCCAATTTCATATTAAAATTTTGTGAGAATTTTGCATTTTACAAAGCAGCAAAGTTTATGTTTGTTTTAATATGAATATTACTTCAATAGTAAAGCCATATGCTTTCTGTTAAAATAATCACACGAATCCAGCACTCCAGGAGGAATATAAGGAGCCTTCCACAACCCTATTTGCTAACCACCCTGTGGGGTTACTCTGCCCCAGTAAGAGAATCATGGGCTCGGCTAGAAATGCCATAGTCACGGTGTCTAAATGTTAACCTTTGGAGAGAAGGAAGACAAAATGGTAGAGAGCACGTTGCACTTGAATATGAATGGGAACTGAAAAAATAGGTGGAAGTGTATGAGAAAATGTGGTAAGGCAGATACATAAGGAAAGACTCCATCATGGCACACGACTAGTGTGTGTCTCTTATGGAGAAGCTGAGGCCAGATGAGCAGAAAAATCACAGAATGTTCAGTATGGAAGGGACCTTCACAATGGGATAACTCCAAATGCAAAACATGCCTTACCAACCCTCCCAACACATACTTGAACATGCTTGACACTGGGAAACATACTTTCTCATAGACTTTCAGTGCACATTTGAAAGTTTTTCAATAGAGAGCTACCTTGAAACAATTCCAACTGCACTGGGGTTCCATTTCTGCTCCTGGAACTCCCAGCAGCAGATTTAGAGTGTAGGCTATGAGAACAGCTCAGGTTCTAGTCTGACCTGTCACCTACTCAGCGAGGAACTACAGCTAGTGATATAACTGGACATGCTTGTGCTCTAGACCTAGAAGATGGAGGAAATGAATAAAGATGCCTGCCCCAGCAGAGCACTGTCAGGATGAGCATGTACAGGAACATGAAAACAGAACATGTAGAGAACAGTGCTTGGCCCAAAGGAGTTCCGGGGAGCTGTGGCCTACAGTAAAAATGGAAGATACTCAATTCTCTTTAGTTTTGTCTCTTCTTGGTTAGATAATCTAATGCTTTAAAAATTCCCTCTCACATAATTCCTGACCTTGCTATATTCTATGCTCAAGTTTGTCAGGGCTCTACATAAATATGACCCGAATTTTCACTGCTTATGTGACATAAGATGTAGATAGACTAGGATCATAGCTATTTAAACATCCTGTCTTGTGGTCCTGGTCACTGTGTTCCCCTGATCTGATTCTTTCTGTCATCTTTCCTTTCACTTACCCTCAAATTTCTGCAGCTGATATTCTAAGCCAAAGCAAAGCACAACATTTCATGTTTAATCCCAGTAAATAAGCTACTTAATTTCAGTCAACTTGAAATACCAGAAAATTGGGGGAGGGGTTATCCTACATATTAACTCCCTGTCTGAATTCTTAACTTCAACAAGCTTGATTCTAAATCACCACTTGTGATTAAAAAACACCTGTCTCAGTTCAGTGACTCATTTAAAGATGGCTCTGAAAGCTGTCACTTCACTGAGAAGTTTCTCTTAGTGCCTTAATGCTGACCATGAAAAGCAGACAGGCCACCTCTGCTGTGGGACAATGGTCTGTACCCTGTCACTTGTATTTCGTAGCGAAACAGGAAGTAGAGGTGGGGCGACCAGGCAGAAAGTAGAGGCAGGGCAAGGAGAACAGAAGAATTCTGGGAAGAAAAAGAATCAGTCTGCAGTCGTGACCCAGCGACAGAGGAAGCAAGGTAGCAGCAAGATGCGACTATCTTGCCAGGAAAGGTATTAACACAGACAAGAATTATGAGCTAAGGATTGTCCCTGCTGCCGGCTGGGTCGGGACGCCAGACCTTCTGTGCCTCGGCGGAGTTAGGGGCACTGATGCAGTTTCTGCTCGGTGACCATGGTGGTGTTTCACGAAGAAGTGGAGATTGAGGACTTTGAATATGACGAGGACTCGGAGACTTATTTCTATGGGGATAATTCCTCCATCCCCAAGGAAGATTTGGAGAATGGAGAAGACGTGGCAACATGTCCTAGCTGCTCTCTCATTATAAAAGTTATTTATGACAAAGATCAGTTTATGTCTGGAGAAACAGTCCCAGCACCTTCAACCAACAGTTAGTTAAATGCTGAAGAAGCCCTCAGGGACTCACATCCTGGGCAGCAGGCAATGAGCCCAGGTGAATGGATCAAGCAAGTGTTGAGTGAGCCTCCTCTCCACAGGACAGCTCTCTGGGGCTTGCTTTTCTGTGGGTGGACATCATCATCAGCTGCTGAATTCTTCATAAGAAATGAGCCCATAACGTCAGCCCTGGATTCCATGTTTACACGGCATTCAAGGATTTCTAATTGTCCATCTGAGTTTAAAAGAAGAGCCTTATGAACTGGCGCTTTTTCTTTCTCCTGGTTGCACCATTTGAACATCTTAAAACTAACTCATTTTTTCTGAAAACAACATCATCCACTTCAAAAAAAAAAAGAATTATGGGCTAATATAAGTTATAAGACTTAATAAGAAGCCTGAGTGAATAGGCCAACCAATTTATAATTAATGTAGACCTCTGTGTATTTCTTTGGGACTGAAAGACTGCAGGACTGGGTGGGACAGAAACCTCAGTCAGCATACCTCCACTCCCCTTTCCCTAAAATTCCACTGGCATACCTGGGTCAAAGAGGAAAATGAACTTGGTTTAGTTGGGTTACTTTGGGGCATACTCAGGCTGACATGTTGGGTCACTAATGTGCTGTCATTTCTCAAAATAAACATTCACAGTAAAAACCTGAAATTTATAGACTGGCTTCTGGAGAATATTGTTCCGACCAATAAATTTTTCTGCTAAGAAAATTTTCAAAGTTTTTTTTTTTTATTGAGAAAAGGCGAAAAAAAAAAAACAAGTTTCCACCTCCTCCCAGCCTCCCATTTCCCTCCCCCTCCTCCCCCCCTATGCCCCCTCCTCCCACCCTTCTCCCCCTCCCCCCACTCCTTTCCCCCTCCCTCTCCAGTCCAAAGAGCAGTCAGGGTTTTCTGCCCTGTGGTAAGACCTAGGACCTCCCACCTCCGTCCATATCTAGGAAGGTGAACATCCAAACTGGCTGGGCTCCCACAAAGCCATCACATTACGTAGGATCAAACCCCCATGCCATTGTCCTTTGCATCTCATCAGCCCTCATAGTTCGCCATGTTCACCATATTGACCATTATTTGGCTAAAATGTATGTTGTATATGCCCCTACATCTTTCCATCACCCTCCAATCACAGGCTACACTGCTTACTAAAATATTTGAAGCTCCATTTTCCCAAATGCCTCCTTTACACCACTAGGTTTATGGAATAATCCTTCATTTCTCACTAGACCAAGCATATTACAGTAGAAATATACATTATTAAGTTGGTATGTTTGCAAATGACTTTTAGATGCCATTACATAATAATCAGAAATTGGCTACACCATTCTTCTATTATAACTCCTTTTAAAAATCTGATTTGAAAAATAACCTTTGTACTGAATCTTACAGTTAGAAAATAGCATGTTATCCAGATTTTGGTGCCTTTGAAAACAATCCACTAATGCTTTATCTTTTCTTTTCAGATTTTCATACTTATTTTTACAATATGCACATGTCTGTGTGTATGATTTGAATTTATTTTCTATTTCATTAATTACACTTAAAGTGTAATATAATATTAATGTTCTATATTTTGCTATAGCTTCTTGGCATTAATAGTTCTAATGCCTTTAAGTACCTATATAATGCACATACTGATTTGTTAATTTCAAGTAAAATGGGTTACCCAAGGCATTATGGGAAATTCTGCATTCATTACACTTCAAACCTGCAAATCTGTGTTCACGCCACAGAAGTGTGTAGTCTTTCAAATTATTTTTGCTAAATTTATATGTCTAACAGCATGATATAGATACATATCCTTTAATTTTATACAAATGAGATAATCTACATGGTGTTCTAAACGTAATTTATTCCTCTTATCAATTTGCATGTTTTGACATAGGATTGCATCAGATAGATTTAGAGTGATATATTTCACTTGTAACTTTCTATTACTCCAAATAATCTACAGACACACACCACACATTTTGTACACATGTGTAGATACTTCATAGGGAAGGTTCACCTCTTCCTCTCTTCCATTTGAACCAGTCCACTTATTTCAGTGTTCTTATACTCTAACACACAATTTAACTTGGGACCCTGAGCAGGTCACTTCACAACTAGAATTAATAATAGAAAGTTATAAGAGAAAATTTTTCAACAAAGAACATATTTAAGGTCCAAAATGATATGCTAGATTCTAGAGAAATAACAAAAAAAGTGATGTGGGCTAAAAAGATGTAAAGCCTTGAGCACAGGTTAGATCTTACAGGGTGGGCATGAGTTGCCTGTTCCAAACAGAGGATTGTCAGATTCTAAACAGGAAAGACCAATGCACTCTTTTTCTAACTAGATGTGATCATACCATCCCTATGGAAGTAACTCAGGCAATTATTTTCGCTAATATATTAAGATTAAAACAACAACCCTCAGGACACATATCAGATCAGGCATGCTTTTTACTGAATTCAAGTAAACCACTAATTGCTATCAATTAGTAGAGGAAATAAAATCCAGTGATCATAAGGGATTAATTAGTTTTGATATAGTACCTGCTTAATAGAGCTTAAAGTATAATTTAAAAATTATTCTTACTTTAAGATTCCAAAGATTTAAATATCTTTAGAAATAAATTTATTAACCTGTGCTACAAATCCAATTAATGCTTTTCCAGATGTTAAATACAAGCAAATTAGATAAATAAAAAAATTAGTAGTAGTTAAATATTCTGTAAGACTTTTACAAAGAGAAGAGCTTTTGATTTTTAAAATCTAAAATCTTTCCACTGTAGTTTGGGTCTACTTCCCTGCTCCCACACTTGGAACTTTCTCCCTAAATTTCCCTAACCTGGTCTGTCAGTTTTCTTCCTCCCAGCTTACTCTCTTCTTGGGGTCTTGTAACTTGATGTTTCCTCTGACTACAATGCTGTGCCTCAGAGACCTGGAAATTCCCTGTGGTATTCTGAGGCTTCTCAGCAGGGATTCAGGCTTCCCTGATCACCCACATATTCATGCTGCCATGCTGGTAATCAGGCTCCTGCCCTGAGATGGGCGAAGTCTATGGGCATGCTCTTTTTCTCCTTTCTACTCACTTTTCAGAATCACATCAACTCTTATTCATGTGTTGACTGTCTACCAAGATCTAGAGCTCATCAGCAAAGGGACCCGCCTCCTTGACAACGCCTAGTGCCCTTAGCAGAGGCAGACACAGGGAAGGGACCCAGTGCCACCTTGTAAATGAGTGAGCAAGTCATCCTAGGGCTAGAGGGAATCAAGACCCACAATAAAGTTCACAACTAAATAGTCAGAATAATAAATGACCTAAATAGGCTTCAGTAGAATATTAAAACTTTTGTGTCTATGTTTCATTATAATTTATTAAATATTTTACATTCATTAGTGGTTGTATTTTTATTTACAGAAATTTCTCTGATAAGAAGAGATGATTAAAAGAGGGTTATATGCCTATCAACAATTAACTGGTATCCTGAAAACGAAAGGCTGACCTGCTGCTCATATCTCTGCTTGACGTCTTCTAGCTGCCACAGAAACTCCTTGGACTGCTTCTCGCGAAGAGACTTGGATCTAGTTAGGTCTGCTTCCACCTTTTCCATCTGTGAAGTTAAAAAACAAATTTTAAAAAACCTTGTATTTCATAACATAAATTTTGCCCATCCTTTAAAATCCCAGACCTTAAACACCTCAACAACCAGTAATGAAAAGAAAGTTGATAAAATAATTAAACATATGACAATTTATTTTAGTATATTTTAATAGTTTCAAGAAGGAAATTAAAATTGGTACATATTTGACTATGTTCTATTGTTCTACTATGTTCTACAGTTATAACAACATTAAAATATACTATATTGAAGAAATAAAGAAAAATCTATGTAATCACCACAAGATTTTAAGGAAAAGCATTAGACAAAATTCAGAATTCATTCTTGCCAGGCAGTGGTGGTGAATGCCTTTAATCCCAGCACTTGGGGGGTAGAGGGAGGCAGATCTCTGTGAGTTCAAGACCAGCCTGTTCTACAGAGTGAGTTCCAGGACAGGCTCTAAAGCTACATACAAAACCCTGTCTCAAAAAAAAACAAAATAAATGAATAAATAAATAAATAAATAAATGTAACGTATTTTTCCTTTTAAAATGTGGTTTTCCCGTATTCAGCCTAGGCTGTCCTCCTGCTTCAGCCTCCCACTACCAGGACTGCAGGGTGTGCCACCACCAGTAGTAGCTCCTGAAAGCCAACATTCCCCCAGCACTGGAAATTCTTAACAAATCAGACACAGAAAGAATGTACTGCAGCATAATGATGAGGTAATAAGCTCTAAACTAGCATCCTAGCAAACTGTGATAAACTGAAGGTTCTTCCTCTAAAAGAAGGCACTAGACAAGGATATCCATTTTCACCCATTCTCCATAGTTCTGGAGATGATAGAGCAAAGGCTTGCTAAGACAAATGAAATCATCACTGATCCTACAAATAGAAAACCCTAAAGATGTCACTAAAAATTTTCAGAACTAACAAATGAATTTAATGAAGTTGCCAAATATAAAGCAGCAGTCTAAGACCAGGAAGGTTATTATAGATCACCACAAAAGAATAGAAGAAAACAACCCCACTTAGATACGTAACAAAATCTAATGATTAGGCATAACTTTAAACAAACAGCTAAAGAATGTATGTATCAGAACTATAAAGTGCTGATAAAAGAAACCAAAGAAAATAATTCAATATAAAGATACCCTGTGTTCTTTGCTTAGAATAATTAATAGTTTTTTAATGTTTATACAAATCAAAGTGATCCATAGATTCAGTGAAGTCCTTATCAAATTCCAGTATCCTTTTTCACAGAACTGGATCTAGGAAGCCTAAAATTTGCAAAGGACCATTAAAGATTCCGGGCACCTTAAGCAATTTTGAGCAAAAAGAACAAAGCTGAAGCCATCACACTATCTGACATCAAGATATACATTGAAGCTACAGTAATCAAAACAGCATG